TAAAGCAGCTAATGCTACAAGGAGATGAGGTAAGAGCGGAGGAGAGGAGGAGCGGAGGAGAGGATGAGAGGAGGAGAGGAAGAGAGAGAAGAGGGGAGGAATCCATTTAAATGAAAGAAGCAGAGAGGCGTCAGCATTAAGGCCTAATCCACTGCAGTCAGATGCTTTCTGCGCCGCTGGCCGATCAAGAAGACTGTAACATACACCACGAGATGCTCTGTACCACTATGTTATTGTTAGTGCAATATCAGCATCCGTTAATGGTGTGGTTCTCCACCGCTCTACAGTCAAAACCACATAAGAGCCTATAGCGCCATAGAAAGACAACTAAAACTGTGAAAGAAATATAGGATTCTGTGTTGACATTCAAGTCAAATCACAACTACAAATTAAATTAAAACATGATGTATTTATTCTCAAGCCTTTTAAGTGCTAACATTACTTTTACAATCAAAATAATTAAGATGTGAAATTAGGCTACTAACAGATTTTCTATATATTAGCAACACTACAGAAGGAAGGATTATAACACATGTAGATCCCCTTGATTTTTGAATGGGTTTTTGCGACAGAGCAATGTACTTAAATAAACAGAACAAACTTGCAATTTTGTACACTGTAGCAGTCCATGATTTTTTCTCTATCATGAGACTACTGACATACTGTATATAGCATCTATACAGCATATATTAGTTTTGCCATAGTACTAAAATATAATCCTTGATTTTGATACTAGGAAAAGGCCACAATGATAACAAACAATAAGACAATACAACAACAAAAAATAACAGTAGATTCAAATGAGTATCTAGTTTTGAGTACAAAACTGACAACCCTAACAGCAATATAATTACACAGTTCATGACATCCTGAGTTATAAATTAAGTTGCTAACATTCCTCCTTTATAGAGTCTACACTAGCATCCTTCAATAGAGCACAATGTTTACAAACTGGATAAAAGCATACACACTGCAATTTCTTACAGGAGATCCATAACTAATAAACAATGCATGACTTCCACCACATCTCATGTTCAAGTGCCATGCAGCCATGTGACCGCCTACATCTGCTCCTATGTTACGTATGTCATTTAGAGCCATTGGACAGTGTGTGGCTGTACACAGACCTACATACGGTGCATCGTGTCCGCCTTTTCCGTCCCCGGGGGAGAACCACGGGGCCACTGAGCTACAGAAGTGTCACATACAAAAGGGAACATCTCTGTCTCTCGCTCCTCCGCACCCACGCGCTTCTCCATTTAGATCACACTTAAAAAGACAGGCTAAAGATAGCAACAAGGAGATGAACAGGAGCCAGTGGTGTCATGGCAACACGATCACAAACACTCAGACCTGGTTTAGTCCTGGTATAGATTAATTTTAAACCTGGTTTAATCCTGCTTTAGATTAAGTGTAGACCTGGTTTAGTCCTGGATTAGTTTTTATGTAAAATAATCTTAGACCTGCTTTAGTACTAGTTTAGATTGAGGTTAGACCTGGTTTAGTCCTGTTTTAGATCCGTTTAAACCTGGTTTAGTCTTGGTTTAGATTAATCTTAAACCTGGTTTAGACCTGGATTAGTCCTGGTTTAGGTTAAATTTAGACCTGGTTTAGATTAATTTTAGACCTGGTTTAGTCTTGATTTAGGTTACTGTTGACTTGGTTTAGACCTGGTTTAGTCTTGGTTTACAGTGTGTTCAGACCTGGTATAGTTCTTGTTTCTTATTAGTTTAGACCTGTTTAAATCCTGGATTAGACCCATTTCACTTCTAATCTAGTTCCAGTGTAATGTAGGTTCTGTCTAGGTTCAGTACTGGCTCAAATGGGGTTTTAAAGTCATAATATTGTATTCCAGTAATTCCACAAATTTAAATATATTACTGTTAAAATGCTTTTGAATAACCTAAAATAATGGTAATAAAGGGGGAAAAAAGTGACATAATTCACTTATTAATCATAGTTTTGGTTTGTAATTCTAGTATAGCAGCATAAGCACCACTTTAGTGTTTAAAACTTGCCTGGCCCCAATTCTGACTCTTTCCAAACCAAACTATCTTCTTATATGGTACTTCCTATAAGAATCAGTGGTGTGACATCTTCTCCCATAATGCATTTGTGAATTTTAATCCCACTCCAAATGGAAAACATGCCAGGACACACACTCACAGTTCACGGTTTATAAGGCTCAATGCTGTGGTTGACAGAGTGAGTCACAGTTTTTGGCTTCATGAAACAAATTAGGATCCGCCCATGAATCCTTAAATGTGCAAACAGTCAACATCAACTCACATTAATGCACGTTTTAAGAAGGCAGAATATAGTTAATAATACATAACAGATACTTTCTCAAACCAGTTAATCTTTTATGAGCCCTAGCGTGGGAAAAAAACGACTTATACTTGGATTTGAAATTGTTAAGTGCTTGAATCTTAGCACTTTTATAATGCATTAGTCTTAATGTTCTTCCAGCATTATTCATTTGCTCCACAGTCAGTTGTAGTAAGCTTCTACAGTAGCCACAGCTGCCCTGAGGATGCACGATCCATCTTTTTTAGGTCAGATACCAATTCCGATATTATCCAGTACTTCCAATGGATTTAAACATTTGCCAATACCTAATCGGGCAACAGTAGCTCAGTTGGTAAGAATGTTTGCCCACTGATCAGAAGACTGGCAATGCGATTCCAGCTCCCACAGATGAATGTTGTTGTTTTGTCCTTATCCTTGGGCAAGACACTTAACCCATCTTGCCCCTAGTGTCTGCATGCACTGGTGTATGAATGCTGAGTGCCTTGAAGGTGGAAAAACACTATATAAAAATGTGACCATTTACCAATCAATCAACCAATACTAGCGCATAGACTGAAAACAGCTTTGATTTCCTTTAAACAAGACTGATCCAAATGTGTTATGCAGCCGTTATTTATCCCACAAGTAACTGCTGGACAACACTGTATATATAAAAAGATCAAACATTATGACAATTTTTGTGCCAACACTGGCCAGTAAATAGTCTTATTACAACAATTTATATGCCCTACCAGGATATCAACTGATCTGAAATCAGCAAGCCGATATCCGATCCAGAAAATACCAGTATGGCAATGTTGCATCCCTAAGATGCCCTGGGGAAGTCTGATAGAAAACCAACCCCTCCTAATCATTCACACATGCCATCCATACACAGGCAATGTGGGTGAAGTGTCTTGCCCAAGGACACAACATCAGTCTGCAGTCTGTCTCTTTTTGTGTAATAAGACATGTCTAGTGCTGTCAACCTTTCAGAGCACCCCTCCCATCTTGTGGGTTTTGTTAAGATTGAATAGCACAATACAAACATACTACATTACAAGATTAAACTACTTGTGCACCGGGTCGTGAATAAATATAAATTAATCCCAAACCAATATTATACGAGGGCTTAATGCGGTCAAAACAGACAAATGTCTTTACCAGGTCTGAACAAGAACTGTCTGTCCATGAGCAAACCAGTGGTGTAGAGTAGACTTTATGCATGGTTTCAGATTGTTCATCATTCTTTTCTGATTTGAAGGACTTTGCGAGGACCCATAGAGGACTTTTCCTATTCAAAAGCTATAATATTTTGATCTGAATTGCTTAATAATTGCTATGACTACAGAGACGGTTGCCATAGCTTGAAACCAAATATTTCATTCACACATTTGAGTAATGCATTATGATTAGTCTGTCTACATCTCCAAAGCTCCAAATGCTCTGCTCCACCTTGTGATGTCATGTAGTGGTAGTTTTCAATTTAATAGCTACCTTTGACATTTTGTTCACTAGAGATTGGCAATTCCAGGGCTGAAATTGTCCAAATAATTCTGGTGAAGGTGTACGGAATTTAAAACACAGTAGAGCGCTTCCAGTCTTACCACATGACATAGCAAGGTGGAAGAGAGCATTTGGAGCTTTGGAGAGTGTTTGAGAGAAGAGCTCAGCCTAATATACAGTGTGAATGAAACAAAACACAACTCTGGATATGATTGTGATGAGGAAACAACATTAAAACTGTGTAATAGGGGCCCTTTAAACATGTTTCCACAATGTAAAAGAAAATCAAACCGTTAAGTCGTTTAAGTCCTGCTTTTGATTATAAGTACATAGACTTTAATCCACAGGTAGGAAAGAGAGAAGCTGGCAGCATCAAGTGAAAACAATAAGGATCAAAAATGGGGATGTTTCAAGTTACTGTGTGCTTCCTTCCACTAAAAATCCCCCAAGGCCTTGTGGCACATCAAAGCACCAATTTGAGCAAAACTGGAGTCACTTCCCGAGCACAGTTACATCAGAGTACAGTGTATGGAGTTATGTAAAAGATAAGACAGACCTCTTTTTGGATTTAGTAGTTATTTTCTGAGAATTTGTAAGGTTTACTTTTAATAATGTTGAGATATATACAGTCTATGGTTAAGACATAAACATCTGGGGGTAGTTTTGGAACGTATAGGACATTGTGTTTCTCATCCCAGAGATTTGATGAAACCCAAAGTAAACTGTTCAGAGAGTTAAAGGTATCAGAGGCTTTAGTTAATGTCAAGAGTCACAGTTTAAAAACAAGCAATGGTACAATGAGAATCTTTATGCTATGCTTACAGACCCACTGTATATTTGTACTTATTCCATTATTAATCTACACATATTGGATACTTATGCTACTGTGTCCTCCAATGACTCAAAATTACAATAAACAGCGTCATTCAACTTCAACATCAGCAAAGTATGATTTCCAAAACATCGACATTCGCACAACTCACAGAACAAAACCAAATCCCATGAAGTTTAAATACACTTTGTATGGCACAGTAATCCATATTAAATCTCTCCAAATCTATCCTCTTAACCCTAGCCTTAGTCTATGTTATACTGAAGCATTGTCCCCTCAGGGCCCAAAACATGTGCTTATAAAAGTATATGAATGGCGGTATGAGAGATTATGTATTAAACGATATATAAAATAAATCAAAAGAATTACTCACTATATTGACCTGCAGTGGCTCGGACCCCGGCCTCAAAAGACGTCTTCTTCTGCAGCTTCCAGATCGTAACCGCACAGATGAGCACTGCCCTATGTCTTTAAAAAAAACAGCAATATTAGATTTAAAAAAACGTCTTAATGGTGCACAGGGTAAATCTTCTGGTGGAGGATCCAGCAAATGCTTTTCGTCACAGACTTGTTATTGCTTTCTATGGAATGTTTCACAATATGGCATTAAACACTTCTGTCTTCATGGAGACCAAACCAAAGCAAGTTACAGGTCAGATCTGTGGAGAGGCAACGCTGCTCACAATCAGAATACCTGTTTTTCTTGGTATTTTTGAGCAGTAAACTACCTGTAATTTAATAAATGTAAGGTAGAGCTCTTTAATATCATACTGTGGAACATTTCAGACAGAGCAATGACATATCCATAGAAACAAGCAGGTGACGGACCTTTCAACTGAAAACTTACCCACGGCACCTTTAATGATGAGATGGAGAATACATATTTGTACCTGACTGTGGGAGCCTCAGAGCCAGTGCAGACACAGTGCTGCTGGGCAGAGGCAGGGAGCGGCACCGCTGGAGGGAGGTTTTGAGGGGGGGCTCCAGAGGGGACACCCCCGGGGGTCTGGACAAGGCCTAAAGGGACTCAACAGTTAGGACACACTCATGCCTCAAATGGACAGGTCTATCTATTATACACACATACACAAGGTTATGTTAACAAGCACATTCAAGAAGATGTAGACCTTATATTAGCCATGTGTTTAGTCTGGGTTAATTTATTTATTAGTGTAATAGCTTAATCTTAATTTTGACCAAGTATAGATTATACTTAGTATAGTATAGACTAGAGTACTTTCAAATTTCATTCCTTGAATTGGATTCGTCTTATTTGTCCCTAGTGTAGAACTTGTTAAGACCTGGTTTAGACTTAGTATAAAGGGCTGCAACAATTAATCAGAAAAATCGTGACTAATTGACTATTAAAATAACCACTGACTAATTTAATCATTGTTAATGGCAAACTGGACTATAGCAACTCAAAAAATGCATGCCAACACAATTTTAAGATTGCAGCATTATTAAATTGAAACTTTAAAATAAACCTTTAACTTTATTGGTAAATATTCTATATCTAGAAGCCAGAAGCTTTCAACAGGAATATTTTTACATTTATGTGATTAAAATAAAAATAATCTGAATAACCTTTAATCAAGATCATCATAAAAAAAACGCTCACTAGCCGATTACTGAAATAATGTAAGATGCAGCCCTTATGTAATACAGACTAACATTTATTGGATTGCTGTGATCCCCGGTGTACTAACAAAGAAACCTTGAACCTTGAACATCTAATTCATTCTATTCCAAGACTTCCTTTGTGTTCAGTACATTAAATTCTTATAATACTCTAGGTCATAGTTTAGTCCTGTCCTAGACCATGTTCAGTCCCGGTTAGGCTAGGTGCCTCTACCCTGGCCTCTTCAAGCCCCTTTATACCACCTACACTGCTCCCTTTTTGCTGTAAATAAACGATTCTGAAGCCTGTTCTGGAGCTGTGATCTATGTGTGTGCTCTGAAGCCTAGCCAGATCACACCATACATCATACCAGCCAGGACAATCCCAGGTTAACACAAACACACACAGCGTTTGGGGGCAAAGAAAGGTAGAGCTCATGGATGCGATGAGGCAGAAAATTGATCACAAAGAAAGACTTAAAATCCAACAAGCCACAAAAAGAAAGCAAAACAAAGTAAGAGGAGGTTAACTGAGGAAAACCCAGAAATACAGTGTAAATGGGGCAGAGCATGCATGCATTGTTGCAGCATAAATACTGGGTTAGTACCATAGGCTGCCCTTCAAAAACTCCTGTGGACTCGTAATGGGATTGGGCTATTTTTATCTAATGGAGACTGCAGAAGATGCTCTGCTCTTGCACCTTTTCTAAAAGATAAAAGAAGAACAACAAATGTTCATAATAGGCTACTAGTACAACTACTATCACTATGACTACTACTACCACCTTTTTTTTTCTTGTATACTAAAGCAGTTCAGCTTTCAAAACTTTAACTTACAATCAAGCCCAAAATTATTTATTCACTGGCCTCAGGCAGCTCTGGAATAAGCAATTGTGAATTTGTGGAGAAAGTTGAAGATACATTTAAGAAGAAACGGGACATGTGTACAAAACAAGAGACATTAGAATTGTTCTGGAAGAAAGAATAAGATAGTATAATAAGATAGAAGAATAAGAAGATTAATAATATTTTTACCTGATCCATAATAATAATAATTCTGTGGTTACATTTTTTCTCTATTTTGTCTGGATGGGTTAGATAATAAATATTTGTATTTGAGCTACCTTTATTCTACAAAATTTGCATACTTAAAGCTTTATTTGCATGTTCCATACTGTTGGACAAAAACAGGTTTTCTTATCTTGTGTTTGCTGGACATCTTACTCTGTGGTGTAGCTCGGTGAACTGCGTCTCCCTAGTAACACTGGTCTCTATGACAGAACAGGGCCTGGTTCGAACAACGGTCCGTTTCTGCCCCGGGGAGCGGTGGACGCTGGGAGCTGGTCTTTTCCTCCTCCTGCACAGAGAGCCCACCTCGCTGTAGTGGCTGTAGTAGTCCCTGGTCGCCTCGGGTCTGTGGAGGTCCAAGATGGCGGAAGCAGGACGAGGGCGCAGGCGGGCAGGTCTGGAGGAGCGGTCCAGGCTGGCGTGGTGCACGGTGGGGCACAGGGGTCTGACAGAGCTGCCTGTCTGCAGGGCAATCTGCTCACACAGCTGCAGTTGGCACACACACTCAGGGTTTGGCTCACAAAAAGGGACAAAAATATAGACTTTTGGAATGGGGAGGACATACTCTGCAATGGGGTCAGTCACTGAAAATTGCAAATCAGAAGCAATTTTAAGCATTTTTTACCTAATTCTTTGTGAGGCAACAGAATATTATGTTGTGAATACACGCTGTCTAATTATGATTAAATACAATGACTTGAAATAACTAGAAGTGTCAACCTATTTTGTCTGTTTAGCATCTTTTATCCTTTATTGATAATCTGTAATGACATCAAGTTGGGGGTGTTCTAGATGCATCTCTATAGAGGAATGTTCACCAGTTACCATGGAGACACAACGCACACAAAAAGTTTTAAAATGGTCTGAAAACTCAAGAAAAATACAACATTGATTTAAACAACACATTTTCAGGAGCCAGTGATCAATATGAGCGTTTATGGTCCAGTTTAGGTGTTTGATTTTCAACAAAAAGGTCAGAGTGACTAACTGAACTAGCTAACTTGTGACTGTAATGTTATGTGTGGGAGGCTTATTTAAAAGCACATCTCACCTATTTTAGTTCCAGCTAAGTCAGTTCTTTATGGTGATTGTGCTAAAACAAAGCTCAGATTAAAGTCTAACTTGATTAACAGGCCTCAACCAGAGTAGTGCCTCCAGTTAGCATCTCACCCCCAAGGAATGTTGATGATATCAGTTGCAAAGTATCAATAATAGTTCATATATAATAGTTTAGTCAATATTGCTATCCAATTATACCCATTGCATAATGTGAGATTATTCTGCAAAGTTACAATTAAAGGTGCACTGTGTAACTTGAATGAGGATCTGTCACCTGCTTGGATATGGATATGTCATTGCTCTACCTGGAATGTTTCACAGTATGACTTTAAACAATTCCACCTTACAATTATTCAATTATAGGTGGTTTTATAGCTTCAAAATACCTACAAAAACAGGCATTCTGACTTTGAGTAAGGTCGCCTCTCCACAGATCTGACCTGTAACTTGGTCTAATTTTGTCTCCGTGAAGATGGAAAGGTTTAATACCATACTGTGAAACACTCCAGACAAAGCAATAGCATCTCCGTGGAGAAAAGCATCTGACAGAACCTCCACCAGAAAGGTTAGACAATGCACCTTTAAGGCACCTTCAATCATGAACCATCATCTACTATAATGCTGTTATTACTAATGCAATTACATCCTAAAACTCAATATAACTTTCCAAATTGCAATAGCCCTACTTAACAGCACCAATTCAAAAGCAGTTTTCAGCCCTTGCATAATCAGGCCCAATGATAGTGCGCTGAGTCCTGAGACGTCACATCGCATCTTGTCATGGAGAGTTTGGGCTAACGTGTCCTGACTCGTTGGTGCGATGGGGAGGAGGGGGTGACTAATATCTCCACTGAAGTGAGAAGCGAAGACTGCCGCACTAACCTCCAGGGCTGCCATAGACACACAGGGACAGATCCATGGGAAAATAAAGGCATTTCCTCTCATCATACAACAGGAAAAAACTGCTGTTGTGAAAATGAAGTCCCTCTGATGGCCAATAGAGGGAGCAAAAGGACAGCTCTATATGCCTGACTCAGTTCCTTAACAGAAGGTGTGTCATTACTATGTTTTTGTTTTTATATCTGTTGACAGTTAATAAGACACACCTACAACTGATTTCACTGAGTAATAGCATTTAAGGCGTTAGATAATTTTAATTATCAGGAACTGGTATAGAGGAGTGTAAACAGGTTGAGTGTAAACAGAGGAGGAAATGCTACTACAATACTTTTACTTCAAATTAAGGTCAAAGCAATTAAACAAATAAAGCATTGACATTTGATATTTTAGTTGACTCAGAAGAACTAGGAGGCTATGTTACTATGAATGCTACTATTACTACTTTAACTCAATTCTGAAGCATTATATTCAAAGTAAAAGTACAAATTATTTGGGTTAAGTTTTGAGTATTGTTTTGAAGCATTTGTATATTTGCAGCAATGACATAATGGGTTTGTTGATGTTAACGATGTGATGAGCTGCAATGAGATGAGGTTACAGCATGAATGTAGTCAATACTGCAAAGAGATGCACAATGTTTTCCATCCAAAAATAGATCATGATAAAAGTTTTGGAAAAAAAAAAAAAAATGGAATCTAACAAAAGTAATTTAATATACTTCAGGGCACATACCTTAAATATTTCTTCAGTTGAGTCGGACGGTGGGACACTATTGGTTGTACTGTCTTTGTCGCCGTGTTGTGATTGGACATGTACTTCCTGTATCTTTGTGGTGTCAGGTGGAGCATCCCTGGAATCCTGCTCATTTCCTGTCTGTCCCTCGGCCTTTTCCTCTTGAATCTTTAATGGATCCACGATGACCTCTGCTTCTGTTTTATTGTCTGCACTTAGACCATTCTCCACTATATTATTGGCCTCTGTGTGTTGGTTTTGAAGGCCGTTGGGAGCGTGAGATCCTGATTGGGTCTTCATGAGTTTGTGAGAGCCTTTTCGAGGTCGTGCCGTGGCCTCACAGCTGAAGCTGCCTGAGGATTTGGTGTGTGGAGAAGCAGGTGTGTCTGAGTGGATGGACAGAGACACACTGTGGACGTTGTTGGCTGTGCGAGGGGCTCGAGGGGAGCTCACTGGACTCTTCTCTCCCTCTGGAGGAGAGAAGGAGCGCGATGTGGTCCGCCACTTTCGAGCAGTTTCTGCAACACTGTTAAAAAACTTGAACAGTCCTCCAAAGTGGCCCTTGGAGTCTGCATGCTTAGGCAAAGGCTGCTGGAAGTCCTTAACTGTCTCAAAGTCCACAGAGCCAAAGTCTGAGTCCAGTGTTTTGTCAAAAGAGTGCAGCTCAGAGTCAAAGCTCCTCTCTGAGTAGGCAGCGCCAGCCTTTCCCAAAAGGGAAATCCTCCGCAGGTAACTCCACACATCTTTGTGTCTCCTTCCTGCACCCCGGTGGGTCCTAGGACTGTCTCTGATGATAGCCTCCTCACATCCGGACACTTTGTTACAGTTGGAGGAATTGTTATGGTTTCGTTTAGTGTAGCTGACCCTTTCTGAAGGTTTAACCCCATTTTGAGCAGTAGAGTCTGTGACAGGGGGCTGACTGGTCTCTGTGGGAGCAGTGAGGTCCAGATCTTCAAATGAACAGTCAAAGTCACCTGTGTATCCAGCGTATGAATGTCTCTTTCCTCTGTGTCGCAGGGTGCTCCTGCTGTGCTGCTGAGGCGTGCCAATGTCATGACAGAAAGACTCCTCATCCACCAAAGAGCTGCTGAACTTTGTGGACAGCTTCCCTTTACTCCTGAACACAGAGGGGGACTTGAGCTTCTTAAAGGAGCGGACTTTGTCTGCGAAGGAGAGTTTGGGAATGGCCGCCTCTCCAGGCAAGATCATGGAGTGAGGCCGTCTCTCTAACTCAGGGACAGTTTTCTTTCGGTTGAGGATCCTCCAGATGCCCCCAGTAGTACGAGACCTGCGGTGCACCTCCTGTCTGTCTCTGACAGGACCGTCCCCAGGCCCCTCGGAGGGAGCGGGCTCCTGAACCCAAACCGAGCTGCTCTCATTTTCCACGTCCAGAGACACAGTAAAGACTTTGTTGACAAACCCATTTGGGTTGGTGCACTCCGGGGCAGAGCTGTCTGTCTGCTCCATGCTCGCTGTCCTCAGTGTCAGCTCTCCATCATGTGTCAGCCCCTCTCTCTCCTGAGCCACAAACACAGAGTTACTCACAGAACAACTCTATATTAGCTGTCTTTGGTTTATTTAGAAGTCTAGAAGCAGCAGACACAAGACACAAGAGTAAGTCAAATGCATGGTGTAATTATATTTATGCTGCCTAGCCTGCACTTATCTCTGCAGGAGGGTAAATGACTGAGAATAATAGAAACAGACTTCACACAAACCACTGTCTCCTGGTTTTATGAGTGAAACCTGTCCACCGCCTCATATTTGTTCCATCTTTTTCAAAGTAATTATTTCAGAGTCTCTGACCACCATTAAACCAGAAGGCAGAGTTACCATGGAAACACTCACTACTGGGACATCGCCTATTTCAGGCCAGGCGTAATGACGTCAAATCAGATGCACAACAGATGGGACGCAAAGGTGAGGAATACACCACTAAGTCAATTAATTAACCTGTACAAAAGTTTCAATTTATGCAATCATTTGTATGTCAATAGTAGTCAATAGTCCAGTCAATAGTAATACTTGCTTAGTTTAAAAAGAACTGACTGCTTTTTAAATCTAGGTTAATATGATTAATACCAAAATAAACAGGCTAGACTAGAGTGACTAAGTGACGTGCAAAGACAATTGTCCATTCCGCAAACTACATTAGCCAGAGACTACATTGCCCAGACTTGTCAATGATACTTCCTATACAGTTTGTATTAAAGAAAAGTAAAATAAACGTTCTTAATCGTTTCCTGGTTGACGGCATTATATTAGGATAGACTACGCGTAAACGTTTCCTCAATTTTGCAAGAACCACTCGCCAAATTATAGAAAGGGAACTCATAACTCCACAAAAGAGTTCATGACAACGAAAGATAAACTCACTGCACTTTACGCTCGCTATAAACACTGCCATGTAAACTTACCCACAAACCCTTCCTTCGTTCAGAAAATCATCTCGGTAGCGGCCCGCGAAGCTACAAAGCAGTAACTTTACGCACCGGTCAAAGCTTATCCGGGGGTTGTAGCGGCTTACAAAGTTTTATCCATGAGTTAAGTCCGAAGTTATGCCGAGGACAGCCACTCAGCGCCGATCACATGTGGCGGTGAACCTCTCCACTGCGCCAGCTCTCATCAAACTGAGAGAAAGTCCCGGAGAAGAAACTATGGGGACAGCGCCGTGAACTCTTGGCCCGGCGCGCAGCAGCAGACGCCGACTGTGTGTGATTTGTGATAAAGGCTCTCACGCAGACAGGAGAGCGGTCGCAGACACCACAATAGTTGCACACGTACGTAGCCCGCAGACGCACACGCACGAGGGAGAAGGACACACCTTTCATAAAAATACCCGAGGTTTGTTTACAGCTAAAGGCTAATACTTAGACTATAGTGGGCAAATCCGTGTTCATGTTATAGAAATTAAGTGGGGATTAAGCGGGATTTAACTGTTTTATTCCTAAAGCTGTATGTGGGCTACTATAGTAAGCAATTAAAATAAGGGTCTGTTAAATCTCTATGAAATGTGACAAATAATTACTCAGGATACATGGAAAGAATTTTAAAAAAGGCATAGCATTTAAATAAATAAGAGTCTAGCCCCAACAGTCTCAAGTCACTCCCAGGAATTTGTTTCTTTTCCTATATATTCGTGGGAAAAGAACAAACTAGTATGATAATGTATTAAGTCCACTATAATTAGGCATAATACCATAGACGGAGGTGTCCTTGATTTCCTATTGACATATAATCTTTTAATGCATGGTGTGTTGTAATACTTGGGCCAGTTCCAAGCTTGGATAAATGGTATTTACGCCATGAACCATAACAGCTGAAAGAAAAAACCCTTCTTCACTGCAAAGTCTGGCATCTAATATACACACAATATCCAAAGTAAGCAATAGTAAGCCTATAATAACTTTCTTACTAACTAATCATTGCGTTTGAATCTTTAAAGGGGCCCATATTTCACTATTTTCTGATCTATGTTATGATGTCCCCACATCACAAAGATACCTGCAGTTGTGTTTTGTTTCATTTACACATGTTTAACACAAGCTGTGCATATTTAGTTCTTCTCTCACACATAAAACACTGTTCCATGTTGTGATGTCATGTGGCAATACTGGAAGCGCTCCACTGTGTTTTTAAACACCATAGACCTTCACTAGAATCATTTGGATAATTTCAGCGCTGGAATTTCCAATCTACTACACTAAAGGTAAAAGGTAATGGTTAACTGGAACAGCATTTTGAGCTTTGAAGATGTACACAGATCAATAATAAAGGGTTACTTGTGTGTGTAAATGAATTTTAACATTATAACATGGCTAAAAACTTATAAGAGCCAATTTTGCATAATAACCTTTAGTTACTGTAAGCCATCAATCAAGATCAATGAGACAGTTCAGGGGCCACTTTCCTTTTTGGGGCCCTGGCAACCTCCTGGTGTGGGTACCCCCTTCAATGCCCCCCAGTTTTAATGAACTTGTACAGTTGCCAAAGTTTGCAGTTTTATGAAAAGGTTTTGTGCATCATAAAGACTGCTTATAACTTTTCCCACTTAAAAGTTTTGCCTTCGGCTTTTCATCTGTGTAAAATTTGCTCTGATTAATTTGATTGTGTTCCTCTGTTGACTATTTACTGGATGTATGGCCTATTTAGGAAAGCACTTCTCATTTCTATAGAGAGCATGGAGTTATTGACTGAACCTTGGTCTCACTGGTTGATCTTCCTTTGGGATTTGTGTTGAATGTGAAAATCCTTCCATTGAGACGACACAATGGGGAGAGGGCGCTCCGGGGGAAACCGAAGGAATTCACAAAAAAACGAAAACAGCCTGAACGCCCCATAGCTGCGCATCGAGAGAAAGACGAGGCAAGATGGTGGTAAGAGGGGGCCTAAATTTAAACATTTCCTCTTTGTCCTGTTTTGAGCCCATTGTCATAGCATGGCGTTCTCCCTTCTGCACAGGAAGGAGTGGATCTGACATCAACGCGCAGCCACTGACAATAGCAGGAAGTCTGTCTGACTGTATGTAAATATCTCGATGTGTCCACGCTTCCCCTGCTTCAGCAGCCTGTGGGGCCACTGCTACTTCTGTGAGAGGAGCAAGATTCTTCTCTGCTACTTGAGGAAAAGTAAGAAATGCACTTAATTACACAAGTAAAAGTGGGAACAAATTGAAAATAACCATAATGGACCACAAATCTGAGTTAATGACTCTTGTAACTGGTGTTACTTAGGAACCTTTCTGTTGGGGCTTTACTACCTGCTTGCCTCCATGGAGATGTTATTGCCTTGGCTGAAATGTTCTACAGTATGGTTTGTTTTATTTTTATTTATTTATTTTTTTTTACATTTACTCGTTTATTGGCCATTTTCCATATGTTTTTTTACTAAGTGGAGTCACTTCTCCACAGATCTGACCTGTAACTGGGCCTAGTAGCACAGCGTGTCTCCTTTGAAATAGATCAGTTTAATGTCATACTATGAAACATTACAGTTAAATCATCTCCATGGAGACATGCAGGTGACCAAAAAGTTACATAGTACACCTTTAAACAATGAATTCAGGTCAATGTAAAGGAGTAACTCTCTCTATAGTTAGTCTCTTTCCAACAAGAAAGAAAGAAAAAGTGATGCAATAACACTCTTTGAAGTACAATTTAACTTTACTCAATATGTATGGTACTCTCTGTCGCTCTCCTTCTGTTCCTTCTCCTCCCTCCCTCCCTTCTCTCTCTTTCCTTCCTTCTCTCCCTCCCCTAAGCAGCTTGAGGTGCCCGAGTCCGTGTTTCTGTGTTATGGCAGTGGGGACGCAGTGATTTACATGCAACACTTCCCCCATAACTCTTCCACAACTGTCAATGCACATTACGGCAGCCCCATCTTCAACTGGGCTAGCCTCCAGAGAAGGCCCTTACATGTGCGCCTCCTTATGCCCAGCTCTCATACATGTACGTCATAGACTGTATTAGGAATCTAGAGCTCTCGACTTGGTTTCCTTCCACATTTTATTTATGGTCATCTTTGTAGTTATACTTGATTAATTTGTGTTATTGTAAAGAGGTAATTTATAGTGACATGTTTACTTTGAGTGAGTGTATTACTTTTCATTCATTTATTTTCATCAAATAAAAGTAAAAATAATACATAGGCCTAAATTCCTTGTAATGTTGTAATAAAAATATATAATAATACTAAATAAGACACTTCAACCACATTGCCTAGTATGAATGTGCTGTGTGCGTGAATGTTGGTGGTGGACGGAGCGGACAATGGCACAGATTGGCAGCATCGCTTCTGTCGGACTGTGCCAGGGCAGATAATAGTATCTTACCACCACCAAGAGGGGAATGAATGAATAATACATTCCGTAAAGTGCCTTTGAATGAAAAAAAAACAAAAAAAAAAACCTATCTCTCCTAATTTCTACTTTTCATTTTTTTTTTCTTTTTTTTTTATGCTCAAATCATTTATAGGCGTAGATTTTAGTATTTTATTATCACAGCAGTAAACATGGCCCATAGAGTCCCATTTACCCCACACTATAGCAGATGTGTGCCTGATTCCTCCTCACAATTCCTCAAACATTTCTTAGTCTTTACTCAGTGACTTCCTGTGGACCCCTGTTTTCCTGCTGTCCCTGTCCTGACCACAGACCGTGTTCCACAGTCACATAAGTCATAAGCTCCAAACTGGTCAAACAGAAAAAGAGTGCTTTGGCCCACAGCCCTGGATTTAAAACCGCGAGCTCAAAAAATTACAAATCTTTCACTCAACATTCTTTCACAGACAATACATATGGAGTGTGTTTGTGGTTTGATAAGATTTCAATACGGTTTGTTGACAATAATGTATTGATTTATTTTTTCTATAAAAGGTTTGAAAAATGTAGCCTACCTTCTCACGCACTAAAGGAGGTTATAATAATATTTGTAGTTTGAGATTTTAAAAGGCCCCCATGTATTCTCTTAATGCATCCTTCCATCAAACCACTGTCACCGGGACTAGAACATTAAAGTCCATAATTTAAAGGCATAATCCAAATGGGCATTGCTCCAACAAGGATAAAAAGAAGTAGTAGTAAGAAACTACTAAGTAAGTAAGGGTGTGCGTGAGTAAAAAGTATAACTAATATGTGTACATAAGTGATATAAGTAGCTTATCATTGTTTAAATGTTGTTTTTATTACATATCTCTACGATGACAAACAAGACAGAGGGCTTCCTTTAAGTACTTTCACTGCTACTTGACTGATGTAATATTTGTAGTATTAGTACTGTAGAGGTATTGCTTTGTCATTCCACAACATGGACCTTATCGATGCCACCAGGCTTGGTTACAGGCATAGACTGTATAAAGAAGTGGACCAAGGGAGTGTGACGTTACCCACAGCATTCGGTTCCAGCCAAATGAAGCTCACTAGGCCAGCAGTTATAGGAGCAGAGTTCCATATTAGGAATAGGAATTTATTTAAGGACAAAATAGCCATATACGTTGAGTTATACTAATATTTTAAGACCAAAATGACAGGGTTCACTGCAGCAGTTACAAAGAGATGGTTGACAATTTTTCAATGTAACGTCAATTGGAGACAGAGTCGATGAAGCCGGAAGCTTCCCCATGTTCTCTTCCTATTTGGAACGCATCGGCTAGTGTGTTAACTATGTCCATTTATGTACAGTATATACAGTCTATGGTTACAGGTCAGATCTATGGAGAGACTGGATGTACAGTATTTGTGCTATACAGTGAACCATCCCAATTAAAGCAATAACGTCTCCATGGGAACACATACGTAAAAAAAAGTTACATTTTGCACCTGCACCAACTTAAAATTACCACTCCTTTCATCTTCAGCCACTGTTTACCGAGTTGCCTATTCATACAGTCGGGAGCATTCCTAACACGTCCCTTTGAAATGATGTCATGAGCTGATTTTGTGAACAATCGGACTTCTTCCTCCTCTTCCTCTGACACATGGGCTTGGTACAGATTACTACACACAAACAACCCTAGCTGCTTTCGCTACATTTGTAATTATTTCAACGCTTTTTGTCAACACCCCAGAGTGAAAACAGAAAAGACGTGAGCGGGCCAGACTGGGAGGGAGGAGAGGAGAGATAGTGTGTTGTGATATCAAATGAAAAGGCGGATTTGGGCCTGGGAAACGGGACAGGGGAGTTGTAAGAGTTGTGTGAGAACAGCTGCTCACTCAAATCTGTTGTTTGGGGAGATTGTGGCCTGATCACAAGCTGT